CATCTTACAAAGTTGAACCAAATAGTAGAATCTGGTGGAATTGGATTCATTTTCCCCGAATTCCATTCCATTTCAACGAACAAATCGCATCCTGGGATATCAAAACTAAAATAAACCTAATTAATAGAAGTATGCATACTTTCCCCTTTTAACTTATCGACCTTGTGGAATAAATCCTCGGTCCTTAGCAATTGACTCTTTAGCCTTTTATTCCTTGGAATTTTACACTTTAGCCCCCTTTTTCCATCTCTTCCATAACTTAAATTATGTACTTTTAAATAACTAAAAGTTAATTAAATTGAATCAATAACAATTATAAATTTAAGATTTATCGTTTAGTTTGTATATTTTAACATATTTTGATTTTCTGTGTAAACGTATATATTGGACTTGATAAAGCTTGTTACCTATAACATAGCATCAACTTAGAATTTTTATATAAAAAAGACTCACAAATGGACAACAAGTTGCGTCACTAACCATTTTTAGATGACAAAACTAATTCTATTAAGGATTGCATCCATAAATCTTGATATCATAATATTTTTATTGTGCATAACTTGTTGGACTATTTTGACGAGCTCCACAACATCTGGAGCAAAGAAGCCAAAAAAAAAAAAAAAAATCAAACGCGAATGGTATAAAAACATGTTGATTTTTCATGTACGTTTTCTTATGTTTTGACACTTTACATGAGACAATTTTTAAAACAGTCTGACTCCCAATGAAATCCCTACTCCCCAAGCTCGCGAGAAAAGAAACCATTTTGGATTCACACATATATGTTTCCCTCTTACCCATCCAAAAATAAAAACGTCAAGTGGTCCAAGTGTTGACATTTATTCCAACGGGTCGATCAAAAAGTTAAAAAAGCACTTCCTAACTATATCGTGTCAGTACTTGAATCTAGGGAGCTCCCTACAATACATATCTTATCAATCTACAATAATAAAATTATGAGACGATATAAGGATAACATAATACTCCACTAATGACACATTATTGGTAATGGAAACATTGGTAGTGTTACACAAACGTTTGATTCTAATAAATCATAACACCCCTTTCAGGATGCCTTTTCCTCTTTAACAAATTTTTGGCAGTTCCCAAATGTAGTCCATCAATACCTTCAGAGTTTGTCACAGACAATTAGTGTAGGTGTGACATGACTAGTTTGGATATACATGGATCATGCCAACGGTTGCATATGTTATTTTCAGTCAAATACAAACCTCTTAAAAATACACACTACATGAATGTTAATAATTGAATCTTGCATTATTAAACGTTAAATCATATTACATAAAAAGGTTGGTGAACAGTTTAGGATGATTTTTTCCCTTTTTCTTGTCATTGTTTTTTGTCATCTTCGTCGCCTTTTTAAGCTCGAAAAAAAAAATCATGTTTATAGTTTTAGTATTCATAAATTATTCAGCATCTTGTCTGTTTGACATCTTTGTTTCATTCATTTTTTTGAAATTAAAATGGCAGCTGTAAAGCAAATCATGTCTCCCAAATATCATTTTTGTTTAAATTTTGTGGCACAATATGAACAATACGATTTTTGTTATTTCGGTTTTGTTAACATGTTATTGTCGGTGCATTACTTTGTTTAATGGGCTTTTCAGGATCGAATGGATGCATGGTATCTTATTTGTATTTCCTTTAATGAAATAACAAAAAAATTCCTGTAGAAGTAATGATAAAAATTACAACACATAAAACATTCATATCTGCATATACATATTTATGCATGAACATATGTATGTTATGAACATATATGTATTCTTACTCAAATAACTTGGTTTCGTAAACACCTAAACTATTAAGTGTGTTATGATCTAAAGTTTTTGTACTAAGTATTTAATAATTTAAAGTATCAGAAGCAATTAAAGCTCGTACATAGGCATTCAAGTATCAGAAGAATAGAAAGTATAAAAATCCATGTTAATATACACAAGCAAAATAACTGGTTTTTCTGTTAATATTACCGAAAATTTATAATTTTCAAAAATCTGGTCATTTACTAGATAAATTTTCGAAGTTGAGGGACTAAAATACAAATCAAAGTCAAGTTGAAGCACAACTTACAAGTAAAGAAAGAAATCAAAAAAGACCGCAGCGATCACGTTCACGTGTAGATTCCAACCAGTAGCAGCTTCAGTTCAAGAACACGGAACACCCACTAGTATGTGCTTTTTCGAGATTGATCCTGCACAAATTAAGATAAGTTCGCTGCTGAATTCAAGGTTGATTTGCAGTTCGAGTCCCAAATTGACGACGAATTTAGTGAGTGTACGAATGCGGGATTGATTCGATGTTGGTCCAACAAGATAGTTCAGTCCCCAAATCCAAACCCCAGAACCCTAAATCATCATTGTTTCCAAGGACTCTTCGAAATCGATTTTCCCCATCTAAATCACTCGATTTCTCCACCTGGTTTTCCGAAAACCTCTACAAAATCGTCACAATTGCCTTCCTGATCGCCTCCGTCGCAGCCGTCTTCTTCCTTCGTAACATCAGCGACTCTGCCACCTTCTTCTGCTTCCAACAAGAAGTCAAACAAATCGAAACCATCATCCATTTCCCAAAAATCAATTACGATTCCATCCTACCCATCACAGATAAGACAACCCCGTATTCGAAATTCAGATCAGACCAATGGATCATCGTTTCGGTATCAGATTATCCATCAGATTCGCTTAAGAAACTCCTAAAGATCAAAGGGTGGCAAGTTCTTGCTGTCGGAAACTCAAAAACTCCTAACGATTGGAGTCTCAAAGGTACCATCTTCTTATCCCTCGACGATCAAGCAAAATTAGGGTTTCGCGTTGTTGATTACTTGCCTTACGATTCATACGTTAGAAAAACTGTGGGGTATTTGTTTGCTATCCAACATGGTGCCAAGAAAATCTTCGACTTCGATGATAGAGGAGAACTGATTGATGATAACATCAACAAACATTTCGATATTGAATTAGGTCAAAACGCTAAAAAACAGATCATATTACAATATAACCACGATAACCCAAATCGAACTGTTCTAAACCCTTACATCCATTTTGGCCAAAGATCCGTTTGGCCAAGAGGATTACCATTAGAGAATGTAGGTCAAATTGAACACGAAGAACACTACAACGAAGTCCTCAGTGGGAATCAATTCATCCAACAAGGGATTTCCAACGGTTTACCCGACATCGATTCAGTCTTCTACTTCACACGAAAACAAAATCAAGAACCATTCGATATCAAATTCGATGAACACGCACCAAAAGTTGCATTTCCTCAAGGAACAATGGTACCCGTAAATTCTTTCAACACAATCTTTCATTACTCTGCATTCTGGGGCTTAATGCTTCCTGTTTCAGTTAGTTCCATGGCTTCCGATGTGCTACGTGGCTATTGGGCACAACGCCTTTTGTGGGAAATTGGTGGTTATGTGGTTGTTTATCCTCCTACTGTTCATAGATCCGATAAATTCGAATCATACCCATTTGCAGAAGAGAAAGATCTTCATGTAAACGTGGGTGATCTGATCAAATTCTTGATTTCTTGGAGATCAAACAAGACTGGTTTGTTCGAAAAGATTCTTGAATCGAGTTACGCAATGGGTAAAGAACGGTTTTGGAGTGAAAAAGATGTGAAATTTACGGTTGCATGGATTCAAGATTTGGTTTCTGTGGGTTATTTGCAGCCTCGTTTAATGGGACTTGAGTTGGATAAGTTGAAAGGAGGAGGTGTTGTTAATTATGGAGACAGGAAGGATTTTGTGCCTCAAAAGTTACCGAGTGTTTATCTTGGAGTTGAGGAAACGAGTACAGTAAATTATGAGATTGGGAATTTGGTTAGATGGAGAAAGAATTTTGGGAATGTTGTTCTTATAATGTTTTGTAATGGAGATGTTGAAAGGACAGCTTTGGAATGGAGATTGCTATATGGAAGGGTATTCAAGTCTGTAATTATTTTGGCAAATAAGAAGAATCGTGAACTTGTTGTTGAAGAAGGTCACTTGGATCATTTATACAAGTAAGTTCCTATTTCTGTCCTTTTGAGAATGTTCAATCCTTTTTTGGCTAGTATAGTGTATAATGTTCACCAAGGCAAGGGTATTTTAGACATTTGGGCTTGTAACAAATTACTTTGTTTTTGTGTGTGTGGCAGGCAACTTCCAAGATTGTTTGATAGATTTGAGAGTGCAGAAGGGTTTATGTTTGTACAAGATGATACGATTCTTAATTACTGGAACTTGGTCCAAGCAGATAAGAATAAGCTCTGGATAACAGACAAGGTACTGAGAATTACAATGTTTGACTTTACATGCATTTTATTTTATAATAGTGATTTGACCGATTTACCCTTTTGTTTGTGTAGGTATCAAGATCTTGGAGCACTGTTCCATTCGATGGCAACAAGGATTTTCATGGAAAACAAGCGGAGATGGTGAAGGAAGTTGTGAGCTCAATGCCGGCTCATTTGCAGGTCAGTTACAAGGACCATACGGTTAACCACGACTCGACCCTCACCGTTTGCGGTTCGGAGGTGTTCTATATCCCTCGAAGGCTCGTGGTTGACTTCATTGACCTTGTAAACCTTGTTGGTGATCGCGATATCCATCAGAAAGTTGCGATTCCGATGATGTTTATAGCAATGGATTCCCCCCGGAATTTCGATTCCGTGTTTAAGAAGATGGTATATAGGAAGAAACCGCCTAAAGACATTTCCATGAGTTTTTATTCTCCGGAAGCACCTGCGGTTCACCCGGTGGTGGTCTCGAATGAGGAAGACTTTATAAAGCTCATTAGAGTCATGGCGGCAGGTGATCCCATGTTACTGGACTTGGTTTGAACAAACATTGCATAGGGTGTTGTACCCTTCGCTACGATTTTTGTACCATTTTTTATGTAGATTGTAATTGTTTTTTTTTTTTTTTTTTTTTTATAGATTCTTGATAGATGGATGTTTGTTTGTGTTTTTTTTTTAAAAGTGAAGAAAGAGGTGGAGTTGGAATGCAGTAAAATCTGTTAGTTTTAGAAAAGTCCCTTTACACGTAGTTTTTTTTTTTAAAAAACGACTTAACAAGAACATCAAAAGCTATATATTTTTAATCTATCATTTATCCAGATTAAAAGCATGTAAGAAGGAAAAATGGAGTTTCAACACGTTGCAAGCCATAGTTGACCATAAAAGTCTATACCTAAACCACATTCCAAAATTTAAAGCTCTGGGAAAAGAAATTACATAACAAAAAAAAAACTAAAAGAAAGAACAAGTAATAAAGATGCTTAGGAAACCTTTTGGTTGAAAGTTAATCCACATCCATATCAAGAATGGCTTCATTCAGTATTTTCTGAAGCTCTTTCACTCTTTGTCTTGACAATGCAATACAATCCTGCACCCATTCCAAACCAAAATTCCCTCAATATCAATGTACTTTCATTTATTATTGCTATAATTGGTTTTTTTTTTTTTTTTTTTGGTATTTGAAAAGTGAAGTTGTGGGGTGACCTGGAGAACAGACTCATAGGCAAGAGCAGGACCACCTGGCTTATAAAGAGAGACGAGTTGACATGATGTGTCCAATACGATTGTGATCAATGTATCCATGATGGATTCTTCCTCAGCCGTTGGATCAGCCAAGATGTAATTCTTGTGAAGTATGCAACTTAATGCAAATGGAATGCTTCTCAATTTAAGCTTTCTCTTCTCCTCATTCACTGGTTTGTTTTTTGCCTTCTCTCCATTTTCCTTGGAAACAACCACAATTCTTCCATCATCATTCAATGACACCACCGGAATTTGCACTGCAACATCAATGTAATCGAATGGAATCTTAACTACTTTTTATTTTAATTCAATACAAGTAGTATTTCACATAAGTTTGAACTACATTGTTTTTTTCCAATTAGGCAGTTGTTTTTGGTTATTGATTCAGTGGCACCATGGCTATAAAAATACACCCCAATGTTGACTACAGGAAATCAGGAATATCAAAACCACTTACAATGGGAGAAAGCAGCAGCTGCAGCAAGTAGGGCAGCATCAAATAGTGCACCATCAGCATCCAAACAGTATATATCCTTGAAAATAAACATCATTTCATACAAATTTAATTTAGGAATTCATCTGAAATAGCATCAGTGTAGTGATTAGTGAAATTTTTAGATGATGAATACCAGGTATGCCATCCAAGCAGCTTTGCCACTGACCAATGACAACTCTTTTAGATCAATCATCCCAGAACTGTAATAAACAAAGTATAATGACTTAATCCCTGTTCACTACAGTGACTAGTAAAGTACAAGTATTTTTCTGTATTTTGCCCTAGTCTAATATTTGTTTAAAGAATAAAATAACAATCAGCACCTAGTCACCTACAAGTGTCACCTCAAAGAATTTACAAATATGGTCTATCATTCTGAAAGATACAATTCCCATGCCTCATTGACTACAGGGTCCAAGTAAATCTCAAAAAGGGTAACATGCAACAGTTTTCAAATGTTATAAGTTCTTGAATATGAGAATTAAGATTGAAAGATTGCCTAATGATAGTGTCGGATAACTGCTTGGACACAACAGGTGCAGCTTCAGCAGGTCTTCCAGGCCTAACAATAGGAGAACAAATTGGAGGCATGTGGAAATCTATGGCTGGAACAGAAGGATACAACATCAGATACAAGAGGGATAATGTGATTAGAACAATGAAGCAAAAGAATGGCAGATATAAAGTGTATAGTCAAACCTACACAGCCTTCATCAGGTGCTTCCTTTGAAGGTGTCATGACTTCCATTTTAATGGCAGCTAACATAGTCTGCAAGAACAACAATGGAGAAGATAATGAATCTTCTTTGAGTTGATAATGGTGTGTATAGATCATAGAAGAAAGATAAAAAGATTCGTCAAGTGGGTGAAACAGGATTTACAGTGCAGCCTATCTTTGCTAGTGCTGATCCATCTGCAGATGCCACTGCCCCTAAATTACAAGGAAAGTCGAAGCATCAGTGTTGAATGTTAAAGAAGCATATAACTGTATATACAAATTGAATAAGAACATCGAAAGTTGGTAAAATTAGACTAACCTAAAGCCAATGACGTTTCTCTGGCTTTACCAAGTGACCTGGCATCGGGCCTTACGGACTCGAGCAAATGGCGCTCGTGAAATCGTAGAGGAAAAAGTCTTCTGAAAGCATCAACCTCCATCTCTGATGACAAGTCCGTCGCGCCATTCGCAGAACCCACCATTTTCCTCTCTCTTGTACAATTAAAATGCATACAAAAGAACAAAATTAGCAATTTATTCACCTATGATTCCAATGAAGTACATGTATTGAAAACCCTAGAACCAAGATTACAAGGAAATCAAAGGCAATCCGTCCACATTGAAGTACAAAACGAACAAATAACTTCCCGTAATTAAGAAGACTTGAAGAAGTGATAGGTTTAAGGGATACATACAAGAAGAAAAACTGGGAAAATCAAACCTAGAAGAAGGATCGATCAGCGAAAACAAAGGTTGCTAAATGTGAAAGAGCTGAAACTGGCCAGTTTCTCCACGGTCGGACAAGGTATATTTCTCCGCGGTCGAACAAGGTATGAGAAGGGGAGAATGAACAAAAGTGTTTTGGTAGTCTGGGTGTCAGCCGATGTTCAAAATAGGGCGGGTTTGTTGGAGTGGCCCAACAAGCTTTTCGGGTCGGGTGTACTGAGGTTTGGATGTTTATGATGGATTGATGAGGATTTTTATTTATATATCTTATATAAATATAATATAAAGTTAACCGGTCTTATATTTTGCAAGTTGTAAAAATCAAAATCAGTTCAGGTGGTTGATTATGTGATACCTAAGCCCTATTGTTATTGAGTAGGATTATGTTATTAGCCAAATAAATCGAATTTGATAAAACTCAGTCATAAAGTAGTCAAATTTAATATAAGGTTTTATTTTATATAATACGTTAATTTGATTTTGTTATACCGGAGGGTATGGGAGGGAAGCCTTCCTCACTTTTTGTGGATCATATATTCTTTTCTCTCACTTAAAACTCAAGGAATGGGTGGGAAGCCCTTTCCTCACTTTTTTTTTTAAATAAAGACAAAACTACAAATTTGATCCTTGTGGTATTCAAAAAAACTTTGGATAGGTCCAAAAAGTTTTCAACTTGCATAGAAGGTCCAAAATCAAGGGTTTTCTAGGTTTTTTGTCCAAAAAAACATAAAATGACAGATATGCCCTTTTGATTTCTTTTTTTCCTTTTATATAAGTATTTTAATGCTATTTTGATTTTAAAAAAGAAAAAAAAAAGAATTTTCCACCCCCACCCCCACCGTACTCTCTCTCTCTCTCTTGACTCTCTCTTTCTCTCATTTCACTGGTTACTCCACCAATTTCTGATGAACATACATACACACAATAATCTCTATCACAAAAGAAAACCCACAAAATCCAATCTACAATTGATTTATGTATGTGTGTATGTGTAGGTTTCCTTCTGGAAATTGTTTCCCCCATAAGATCCAAAGCAAAAAGGCTTTGTATGCCTCTTTTTGAAACTGAAATCGAAGTCAACACCCACCTCCCATCCCTCATATCTATTTCTCATCTTACTCTGAACCCTAAGGACACTGAATCGATGTCATCATTGAATCATTTCAAGTGGGAGTTTTCAAAGGATTCCGTTGTTGTTGCAGGTTGGTTCTTAAGAAATCGAGTTTTCTGATGATTCTGATTTCTTGGATATGCTGAGAAGGGCTAGAGCTTCAAATTTAGGGACGCTGGTTATTGGTGATTAGGACATAGCAATGGGGAGACAAGTTGATTTGTGGGTTCCATTAAATAGAGTCAAGAATGGGGAGCTTACAGAAGAGTATTTGGTACTCAGAACCAGAAATGATTTCATATGAATTTTTATGTTCATACCCAGAAATCTAGAGAGATAGAGAGGCTACGGTCGGTTTAGGTGGGATCGAGTGGGCGATGGATGTTGACGATGGGAGAGGTGGCTGGAGAGTGGCAACGTTGTTGGAGGTGGGTGATGATGGATCTGGTCTGGTTTATTCACCTAGAAATTGCAGGTGAAATGTCGGGAGGAAGAATAAGATATAAGAGAGAGAGAGAGAGAGAGAGAGAGAGAGATAGATAGAGAGACAGAGATAGATAGAGAGAGAGAGAGAGAGTAAAAAAAACAAAAGGAGAGAGAAAGGGGAAAGGGTACGATGGAAAGGGACGGGGTGTAGTTTTATTTTTTTTATTTTTTTTAATAATTATTTAAATTCTGAAATAAATAAAAAATGTAAAAAAGAAATAATAAGGGTAAAATGGTATTTTCATATTTATTTGGATCAAAACCACAAGGACTAAATTTGTAGTTTTGTCTTAAATAAAATTAATTTTTTTATGATTTATAATTTTTAAATTAATACTAAACATAAATTTTAATTAAAAATAAAAGGCATTTCATTAATTAAAATAAAAATTACATTAAACCTAATATTTAAATAAGTAGAAAAATAATTAATATCCTAATTTTATATAAACCAAAATACGTCACTCGGAATCATCGTGTTCGTCATCGCTCTCATCGTCCTCATCATCGCCTTGATCGTCTTCATCATTCTTTCCAGCGTCACTCTTGTCGTCGGAATCTTCACTCTCGACGAACATATCAAAATCCCCGTCTGATTTGTCAAACAAATCATCGTGAGGAAACTCTAACGGGGGCTGAATATGAGCCCTACAAATGTGCTCCACCAAATCAGCACAAAGGGCGTGATGAATGCCGCGATTCTGTACTTCTCTTCTATTCACCCTATACTCTTGTGTACCAACGGCTACTCCTTCAACATTTGGCAGAACTTAATTTTCGTTGTACCAGCATATCGCTCTTCCTTCGTCTTCAATAATCATATTATGCAATATGATACATGCATACATTACGTGCTATAACCTTTTCACCTTATATGACATTGCCTCGACCGTTAGTACTTGCCAACGTCTCTTAAATACACCAGATGTTTGCTCCACATCCATCCTAATTGTCTCTTGCGCCTCTTTAAACTTTTTCCTTTTATGGTCGTTAGGACATGTAAACGATTTCACAAAAACAGACATGGGATGATATATACCGTCAGTAAGAGAGTATCCACACTTATATGCTACCCCATTTGCTTGAAAAGGTACATCGTGCGACTTTCCAAGGTATATATCGTTGAATACTGACGACTGGTCTAGCACATTGATGTTATTGTTCGCACCAGCTGGACCAAAGAAACGCATGCCATATCCAAAGATCATGTGATGTGATAGCCTCTAGAATGACCGTCGGCTCTTTGTGGTCTCCCCTCATGTACTAACCACACCATGCGTTGAGGCATAATGACCAACTCCAATGCATGCAATCGATACTACTGAGCATTCCAGGGAATTCATGTTTGCCTTCATGCACCGTGTACAATTGGTGGATATCGTTGATAGTTGGTTTGCGTGAATATCGTTACCCATAAACCAAATAGATTGCTTTGCAGAACTTGTACACACACTCCCGTATTGTACACTCTGACATTATAAAATACTCGTCCCATTTATCTGCGCCCATGTCATATGCTAGCTGACGAATTGCAGCTGTACATTTTTGAATGGGAGAGAAACCTTTTTTCCGCATTGCATCCATTTTCCATTAGAAATATGGAAAGCGACATTCCAAGTCGCAAACAACACGTAAGAATAGTTCATTCCTCATCCGGAACCGACGTCGAAACTTTACAGCGTAGATGCCGTCATCTGAAAAATAATCTTCTTTAAGACGATCGTGTCCGGTTTCGTGATTTCTACGCAACGACGGCTTTCTTAGCTTAGGTTGTGCACGTGATGTTTCGCCTATTCGGTTTTGATAGTATGCAACTGTTTTCGCCATGACGGAACCAATAAACTTAGCCTCTTCTACAGTCGTCGAATCGGATGATTAAGATGATGACATTTTGAATAATATTTTTTGGAGAGAAGTATAAGGTATGAATTAAAAAAATGATTGGGTGTTGTGGTATTTGGTAGGAAGGTAAGAAGTTTTTTTTTCTACATATTTTTTTGACGAACAAAAAAAATGAATCACTAGATGATTCATTTGTAAAATGATTCACAAGAAAAAATTCTTAAAAAAACATCCATATGATTCATTTTTAAGTAAATTAAGAAAAAAATCCACTTTTATGATAATTTTAGTGAATAACAACAAAATCATTATATAAATGAATCATCAAAATGATTTTTTGAGAATTTTTTCTTGTGAATCATCTTACAAATGAATCATCTAATGATTCATTTTGTTTGTTCGCGAAAAAAATATGTAGAAAAAAATTTTCTTACCTTCCTACCAAAAAATTCCTTCTTATTTGATCTTGACTCTCTCTCTCTCTCTCTCTCTCTCTATATATATATATATATATATATATATATATATATATATATATTAACGGCTATATAGCCGTTGGAATCAACCGTTACAATCCAAATAATAATAATAATAATAATAATAATAATAATAATAATAATAATAATAATAACAACATGTGAGGAGTGAGAACGCGGGATGCCCACCCCCACCCTCTTCCTGTGCTAGCCTACACGTACCCACGGTACGGTGTTCTCCATGTGTGGGAAACGTCCCGCACCTCTCCCTACAGTTCATACCGCCCGGTCTTACCACTCTTCTACGTGAACTCCACCCACATGTAGGGATGAACTGCAAACCCTTCCGAACCAGACCAATTAGAATCAGTATAATCTAAATTGGCTCTTGACAAACCATGATTTTACAATATTAGTTTGAACCAGTTATATCCATGTGGTCTAATTTTAGTAAGTTTTCTTTGCCTTTTATTTACCTTTTTTTTTTTTTTATAAATGTGCTTTATGGTCCATAATTTAAAAAGAATAAAAAAAACTATAATTTTTCTTATCTTTTTTATTTTTATTTTGAAAATAGCTTCTTTATTTGTCTATCAATTCAATTTTAATGCTTTTTATTTACCATCTTTATATGTTTTTAACTAGTTTGTAAAATACTCTTGTATGTTTTTAATATTTTATGAATTAAATTTTTAAGAATTTAATAAGTTTGTATTTTTTTAAAAATTAAAAAAAAAATGAACGAGATTGGAATGAATGAAAAATATAGGACGGGTGATATTGTGGGGTGGAGGGATGAACATGAAAGGAAAGTGAAAAGTTGATATGATAAAAATTATGATGGATAAGAAAGATAGAATCTCTCTACCCGTAGAACCGGTTCAATCCCGTTTAATTTGTGATCTAAATTAGACGTAATTTAATTAAACCAGTTCGGTCCATTTTTGTTTCCATTTTCCTTACATTTTAATAATATAATATATTTTTGCTTGTACTTTATAAAAATGGATCATTTTAGTTTATTTTAAACTTTGTTTTAATCTTATTTGGGCTATTTGTTAACCTTTATGATTATTGTATGTTATGTTTATATGTATTTTTTACATGCATAAATATTTTAAGCCTTAAGGTTCAATGAAAAAGTAATACAAATTTGAATTTACAAATTTGTTTTAGAGAATGTTAATAATTGAAAATACTTTGCTTAATTAATATTTTGAACCTTGAACATTATTCACTAAATTCTTAATCTTAACCCTTAAGTTTTTATTGGAGGCTCTCATCAATACCGTCATCATCATTTGTGTAACATCCGGTTTCATGGTACGCGTTTAATTAAGTATTTATCAATTTTATTTTGAAAGAAGGATTCGACGAGTTGGAAACCCTGACTCGTCGAGTAGAAGGCAGTTTGTACGCAAGGGTTTTAGTAAGCCACTCGATGAGTCGCAGCTCTGACTCGACAAGTAGAACAGGTTGGATGAAACCCTACTCTTTAGGGTTTACACCCTATTTAAGCATCATATATGGCCTCCATTCTAGCCTCCATCACCTCCAAAACCCTAACTTCGAAACCTTAATCCACCATAAGTGATCTTGAGCTATTTCTTCCATTTTGAGTGTTATTTGTGCCTTTTGAAGCTTGTGGAAGAAGTAGAATATTGAAGACTCAAGAGGGAAGGAGTAGATCCCAGAACTACACTCAATTTGCTACATTTTTTGGTAATCGAGTTTCCAATTTGATCGTTCTTCTCTTAGATCGATTTGTTTCCATTTTATGAAAGTTTTGGTTCAAGAACCTTGGACCTTGGAGTTGGGACGTCATAAGTGGCTCATATCTCATATCTAGGATCTAGGGAGGGTTCTATGGCATAAAGGTGCAAGCTTTATGACCATGGAAGTCCCATGCAAGCATATGAGCAAGTTTATGGTCTTTTTAGCCCTAAAGGACTATACATGGAAGGAAAGCTCATAACTTTATGGGTCCGATAGCTGTTAAGACCCTAGATATAGGTTTGTATGTGTGGATCTGAGACTCTATGGCTTTTTGGACAATATCTATGTCTTATAGGAATTAGGATTTTGTCTAAACCCTTTTAGAAGAGTTATGGATGGGTAAAGTTGAAAACTCTACCCTTAGAAAGGCCTTTACAGTGGGAAAACGAACTAAGAACTTTGGATCTAGAAGATAGGGCTTAA